TTTATGAGAAGAAAAATGATGCCATTTAACTTCATGAAGCACTGTGCTCCAGCTGGGTACCCCTCAAACTATGCGCAATAGTCTAGGTGACTACACTTGTGGAGCACTGAAGTTTTAAGAAATCAAGCAGTGAGCTGCTATGATACAGCACAAGGGGAAAAGGCTGGGGATACAAGAATTCAACTTTTCATTCTGTATTTGGAAAAAAAAAGTCCTTCTCAAAACAAAGAAATTGTGCTGCAAACAGATGATATGCCTACTTGAAACTTAAGATTAAAAAAATTATAAGGAGAAGGGCACAAAAATTTAATTTAATGTTCACCTTAGGTAATTTTGTGTCTTATTGTTTGTGGCAATTACCATAAATCTGCATATCAATAAGCAAGAACAGATGTCAGTTGTTACAAGTGCTTGCCAATCAGGTCTGGTAAAAAGTGACAGATGGGTGGTTATAGAACATTCTCATAAGGCCTATTAGCACATTCGCAGGAAGTGTCTGTGGTGTGGACTGCTGGAGACCTAGGGAAGAACACAGGGTCTTTGTGGACCTATGGTGCACACTTCATGCTGGGAGCTGCTCCAACTAGAGCTTCTCAGACCTCCCACACATTGTTTTGGCAAGTGTTCTTCCTCTTCTGCACCGAGCAGACACTCTTAAGTCAGTATTCGCAGGGAGTGGATTTCACATTGACAAAGGGAAATCTGTTTTGTTGTTTGAAGCAAATATTTGCCCTCTACAATTTTATTGTTACTTTAAAGGGTGTTACTATTAGCTTTAAAGAAAAGCAGAATAAAAATGAAGCAGTTCCCTCCTGTTCATCAACAGTAATTTCTTTTCATTCTTATCTCTAAATCTCTGTGATTAATAATACCTTATTCTAGGAAAAACAAAAACCTCTTCCAACAAAGAGCTTTCTTTTGATAAAATGGAAATATTTTCCAGCATGGAGGCATCTGCTTTCTTTTAGCAGTTTTAGGGCTCTTTCTACATTCAGAGTTCAGCCCACTTGTATAGATGAATCACTGAAGCTTTTGTTTATACCTAAATTGGCTGGGACACAGAGCAATGTTTCATAAGTTCTATGGGGCAATAGACAGCTCAGGTTTTGAACTTGTAATATAGATACACAGCTAATAGCTTAGTTTAATAAAGTGTGGACATGTTTATTAATGTGTCTTTATTCTATGCTTTAGTTGTCAGTCTGTAAAATGGAGTACCAACAGTCACTAACTCCTAAAGCTGTTGTAGTATTTCAGAGTTGTGTATCCTATTTCTCACACCACTTACTGGTGCTGCAATCTCCTAAACTTATTTCTTACTTCCATTTTCCTATTGTCCTTGTTCTGTGAAAATCAGCTACATGATTATTACAAAGAGCTAGACAAGTTTCACAGAAACTTGTGAAGTAGTACTACCTTTATTTTTCCATCACAATGATCTTCTGATGTATGCTATAGGTTATAAAGAAATTAAAGATCAAAGGACACTTTTCCCTTATTCCTTCAAGGACAATTTAGGCTCTTAGCTGAAACTCAAGAGTTTCTCAGATTTAAGAAATATATTAAATACTAGCAACAAATTTAGAAATAGGTATCTTTATTAAAAGTTTTAAGAGGGAAAATAAAATCAATCAACTTCAAGGAGACACAGTAGACATAAAAGGATTCAGCTTATAAAGACTTGATCTTAAATACATTTTCTGCTTTAAAATTCCTTATTTAGTAAAGGTTCCCTTTCATAGAAATAGCAAAATACATTTGTAATTACTTTCAGTTTGAAAGGAAAATGGTAAGATTTTTCTGGAGTAAAATGCAGTTGATGTTCCATTAGGTCTTCTAACTGCTTAGTAAATGTCATCTAAAATTTCTTTTGTTTGCTTTTTTGGGCTGATTTTATTTTTACCTCATATAAATGAGCCATTTTAAGACTCTAACTAGAAACTTAAATCTTCTAAAGGATTGAATCCTCTATTTTTTTTTTCTCCCCCCAGTCCTGTACTGGGGATTGAACCCAGGGTTTTGTCTTGTACTTTACCAGTTGAGTTTTGCTCCCTGTCCTTTTGCTTTTCTTTTTGAGAAAGGTCTTACTAACTTTTCCTTGATTGGCTTTGAACATGAGATCCTCTCTCCGCCACTTCCCAGGGAGCTAGAATTAGAGGCCTATGTCATCATACCTACTTAAGACCACCTCTTTTGGAGAGATGTTCATAGTTAAACATGATTAATTTTCAAAGTATTTCACTCTTTTTGGTGATAGTGTTCCAAGACAGACTACCTGAGTCAATTAATATGCCACTGGAATACATAAAAATTAAATATGAATTGTGTATGTTCAATTTATGTCACAGTATCAGTCATTCAATAAACATTTTAATATCAGGTGAGCTGGGGAAAAGTAACATCCTGTGTTCCTTCTATCATATTATATTATATTATATGGCTTTTATTGTATTTGTTATGTACAATGTGCTTGGTAACAGGTTTTCTAGTATTTACAAACCACCTCCAAATCCTTAATAACTCATTGATGAAGATTTGTGACATTAGTTTATATAATGCTTTCTAGTTTTAAAGCCAAATTTCTTAATTCAAAAACTGGGCATTTGACTTAAGTTCTACCAGGAATGTATCCAAAATACAAATTTGCGTATCAGTTTAAAATTTCTTCATCCATGCATTCCAATGCAGTGACTAGCACCTCTTAGAGGAGGAGAGGCTCGGCTATCAGCCACCAGCCCAGCCCAGGCTCTCCTGGGGATCAGTGTGTGGTTTGGGGCTCTGAATTAGAGAGAACTCGACACACTTGTAAGGGAGGAAGGAAAGAGCTTTAGGGAAGAGCCCTTCTCACATTTGGGGAAGTCAGGAAAGATCTCTAGGATGTAACCTGTGTTACCAATCCACCAGAATTCACTCTGTAATATTTGTGCAGATTAATGGCTAGAACAAAAGTTAAATCCTACTTTGGGGACAAGACAATAGGAGTAGAGGAGGCTACATAACTTTCCTTTATTAAGGAAAAAAAATCCAAATCACAATGTTTCACATACTTAAGAATACGATACAACTATCTATATAAATGAGGAACAGCTTTTATGGAAAGCAGAAAAAGCCTACATACCTACATTTTGAATGGATGGCAGACAATGGATTACTCAGGATTTGATTTTATAGGCTTGCAGACTCAGTGTGTTGAGTTTAACATGTTGAGGTTCCAGAAATGAATATTTTGGAAAGATCAAAGCATTTATAGAATGTCTTTAAGTTAGCCATCTGCTCCATGGCACCTTATAAGATACTCCTGGTTTTCAAATGAGCAAACAGAGCATATAAATGCTAATATTTTGACCTGTGGTTGGCATGGCAGAGGCATACACATTCTAATGAAAAATAACAGGGCACTTGGTCCACCTAGGAAGACACACTGGGCAGTAGCCTCAGGACTAAGTAATCTTCTCTGCATAATTCAGTGGTGGGAGCAAGAGAGCCTGAGGCTTTCTCTGAGGAAAACTTGAAATTTTAGATTTCAGTTGATCTGTATGACTAGAAGAAAAATGAACTTCCTATCAGCTGAAAATATGACGAATCTTAGCATTTATTTAAGGAGCTTGCATTGAGATTTTTCATTTAAAACACAGAACACCTACTGAATATTTTTACTAATCTCTCTCCAGTTCCCTTCATAGACTTTAAAATAAATTAACCATTCAATATGATTCTTAGCTCCAATGCCAGTATCCTGAACTGTATACTTATGTATGGTACAATGATATAATTATTTATTATGCAAGGTATGTAAGTATATATATCATCTATATATTTAATAATCCAAAAATGGTATTGCAGCAGAACAAACGGGTAGCTTCAATAGATGTGAAACTGAACAAGTCATTCAGCATGATTTTTACTGTTGGGCAATGTAGCTCATCAGATGAGAGCTACTATTAGCCTGGCTAACCATCTACATACACATACAGGAAGAAATTAAATTTCACTACAAATCTTTCCAGATTCACTCAAAATGAAAATGAAAAACAAAACAAAAAAAACCTAAGGGTACCTATTAGAAAAAAAAGAAATATTATAGTGACAGATTAAAAAAATCTGGTTTTTATGCTATATAGTTAAGGTTTCTTTTCAGCAATTCAGGGTGTTCCTGATTAAAGAAAACAGTGCTTCATTTTAATATGCCAAAAATCTGTTCTATTCCTTGCCTTCTTTCCCTACCCTTTTGGAACCAAACAAGGAAAAAGCTTTCTACCAGCTCCTCCTGGCAGGTTAATGGGCACCTGTGTTCTGATTCCTTGGCCCAGTGCTGCGGTGGGGTACCTGCATGGGAGGAGGCACAGTAGGGTTGACCTTTTGCTAATCACTGTGCCACAGCAACTACTGGCACAGCTCATTATGAAAAGAAATCCTTCAATGAGCTGTTTTTCAAAGAGAGTTCCACTTTGATTTTCTTTAGAACAAAGATTTAACTTCCACATAAAAGCTTCCGATGAACAATTCTGTCAACTGGGCACTAAAGTAAAAAAGGCACCCTGTTAATTGTCTGTCATTATCAAGGGACTAAAAACTATCAAACACAGGCTTGCAATCTTGGCTTTCGGCCTTATAGGGGTTCGGCCACTTTTACTGACTGCTTATTATTATTTTACAGGGATGTCAATCAGTTTAGCTGCCCTATATATAGAATATGTTGGAAATCTCCCAGTAATCAATCCCATTAAAACAACAATAAAAATTCCACAAACAGCTGAAGTGTACACTGTGTAGGAATTTATAGCCCCTTCATCTTCTAACTGTCACATAAGGAAGGATGGGAGTAAGGAAGTACACTTAGGAGGACCACTAAGGAAGAGATGATTCTATTTTTTTTCATACCTATAAAACCAGTTCATCTGAAAACTTCTCTTTCTCTCTACTTCTTTCCTTTGCCCTCTAAACCAACCCCCAATTTAGCAACTGTATGGTCAAAAGGAAAGGTATGTTTCATGACTCACCAGCCATTTGCTGAATGCCACTGAATGCACCCAGGTTGCTGGAGGAGGTGGCCTGCTGGAGAAGCTGAAAATGAACACAAGGTGCAAAGTCAGAACCATGTGAAGATGAGAGCACAGTAACACCAAAACTTTCCTTTACATTTGTATAGTTGGCGACCATTGTCTGTTAATGGAGAAGGTCCCCAGAATTGGGGCTGTAAAACCAAATTAATATCTAATCTCAATTAAGAAGCACAGATAAGAGGGAAACACAACAGTACTGCCTTAAAACAATCAATTTACTCTTTTTTTTTTTGGGTCCGGTTGTGGGGCCTGAACTCTGGGCCTGGGCGCTGTCCCTCAGCTCAGCTCTTCAGCTCAAGGCTAGCGCTCTACCACTTGAGCCACAGTGCCCTCATCCAGCTTTTTCTTTTTGCATATGTGGTGCTGAGGAATCGAACCCAGGGCCTCAGGCATGCAAGGCAAGCGCTCTACCACTGAGCCACCTTCCCAGCCCTCAATTTACTCTTTTTAACAACCAGGTGTTAAATGTATTGAAACCAACATAGCGTGACTAATTATGTCTCTCTGTAGTCTAGTAGTTTTTGTAACTCATCTCTGTAAATCAAGATTCATTCCATCATCTACTCTACTTCACAGTTCAGTTTTATCTTTCATTAGATGCACATGGATTCATTACCTTTTAGGCCAACATAATGATCATTACAATGACTCTACATGTAAGTTTTATTGACTTTCAGACATACAGTTGTAGCCTCAGCCATATGTGGCAAAAAAAAAAAAAAAAAAGGCTGTTCTTTTTTTTTTTTTTTTTTGTTGGTTGTGGGGCCTGAACTCTGGGCCTGGGTGCTGTCTCTCAGCTCTTCAGCTCAGGGCTAGCGCTCTACCGCTTAAGCCACAACACCACTTCTGGCATTTTCTGTTTATGTGGTGCTGAGGAATCGAACCCAGGGCTTCATGCATGCAAGGCAAGCACTCTACCACTGAGCCACCTTCCCAGCCAAAAAATGCTGTTCTTAAGATGGTGTTCACGGCTTAAAGAAACGTATGATTTGTAAATATCTGGAATGCTATGTACAATGAAGTTATGCTTCATAATTAATATGCCTGTGAAAGTCTGTACTTTCCCCCTATAGCTTTCAAAACCACATTTTTCCTGCCATGTAGAATTAGTGGGTGCCACATGATAAAGGTTCTGAAGTATTCCTGTCCTTGGACCAACTCAGTTGAACTGTAGGTTAACTTGGGCTATTCTAAGATTTTAACAAGATGTATAGACATTCTTTTTTTGGTAAAAGAGCAATACACATAGCTTGATCAATACAGATAGTACATTAGTTTGTACATGGGAAAATATAGTTACCTCCTATATTCCAATATGTATGTTGTATACTTACCATATTTCTCATTGAAAAATTGTTTTAATATTATGTGCTCAAGAGAAACATGATAAATTCATGATTTTCAAAAAACTTTCTGAATATATCTGTAGCTGTGTGAAACATAAGGTAAAACACTATTGTTTATTGGTAAATATAAAGTCAATTTAATAAGATAAACTCTACAATTTATATAACTAAAAAGTGACATAGCACCAAGCATGGTGGGCTGTCAGTGGCTGTGAACCTGTTTCAGGTTACAGTGGTACTATAAGACTTCATGTCTACTGGTAGTAAAATCAAGAAACATGTCTGACATGTTCACTCATCTCTCCTAGTTGGGAACATACTACATATGCACTCTGTGTGTGCACACACATGCGCTCTCTCACACACAGAGGAAAACTGAGGAAGAGAAATGGAGAACGTAGAGATTATCTATTTTAATACAGAAATCCTTTCCTGTGGTTTAATTTGTTGAATTTATCATTTTCTGATGCTTACAAATTGCAGCCCTTTCTTCAGCTTACATGTTTTAAAAATTAAGGTTAAATTATTTATTTTGAGGAATTAATAATTCCTGTTGAAAAAAAATGTAAGTACCTGAAGGCCATGAAATCATCACTAAGAATTGTTTAAATGGATAATCAATACTTTGTAAGCCAGGCTTCAAATCTATGCTCACCCAAGAGACAGGGGAATGACTTACTGGCTAAGAGCTTTTTCAGAGAACAGAACTTTCACGTGAATGCAGCAGTAAAATATGTCTAAGAAAAACTTGGTGCTCAAAAATATCAAAAGGCATTTTTATACATGAAATTCTCTTATGGGTATAGAAATATGTTGCAGATGATCCAGAGATTTTTGTGGGCACAGAAAATATGTCAGAATACTGAAAGGCAGAGGTTCTACCAAATAGGAGAGCAGGAAGGTAGACTCTTACAAAGTATGAAAAAGTAAGCATAACATCAATCTTGGATAAAAATTCTGGTACATACAAGTAAACTGATGGTCTGTGAATACTTGACCAGCACAGTTTGTGGAGATGGTTAATCTGAACCCACACAGATTACTAGCAGTTGTGCGGTCTGCGCTTCCCTTTCCTCACCTAATCATCAAGCAATATCACCTCACCTTTCAAGGCACAGGGAAGGACTGCCCTGCATAACAGAATTTTTGCTATGAAGTACAGTTAATGGATGATCTAATCCTGAGAGAGATAGTTAAAATGTAAAATGACAGAATTAGGACACAACAGGCACATATGCATACTCTCTCAGGCTTGAATAAAAAGGTCTAAACTTAGTGGGGGTAGAAGTATGGTTTAGCAGGAGCTGAACCAAAAGTAAACACTTATTAGAGGCACTCACTACCTTTTAGCTGACTTAACCAGCTGTCAAACACATAATGTCATTTCTAACACAGGCTTTGAAACACTTGTAACAAGTTTAGCATAGGTAAATTTTTCCGCCCTACATCAAACAAGAGTTAAGTTAGTCATGAACTTATGCTAATCAATTTCACTTGGCAAAAATTTTCTCCCTAAATGGCGATTTCAATAATTCCCAAGACTCAAAATGAATGGAAAACAAATTCTTCCTTGTACTTAGCTTCCTAGATCCTCCAGTTTTATTCCTTTCCTTCACACAGACCCTCAAGACCAGCACTCACCGCCAGGTACTGTGGGGTAAGTCCGCCCAGCCCTGTCAGGTTCCCCCAGGTGGCAGTGTTGAGCTGTTGCATCTGCTGTGCAAGTTGCTGTTGGAGGCGTCTCTGTTCTTTGTCCTTCTGAGTATCAGCAAACTTCACCACGATAGGTGAAGAACAGCCCTGTGGTCAGACACAGCGGAAAGTGAAGAAGTTACAGCCTGGTTGCATGCTTTCATGACACCGTCAGCACTGGATCTTGGTTAGCTATTCTGGAGCACATGAAATGGTCTGCAATGGCTTACAAATGGTTTGATATTCCTTCTCTGAATGGTATACCATCAATGGAAAATTAAGATTGTGTCATTGGCTCTGTAGGGGAGTTCTGGTGAAGCCATTTATCAAATTGCTTCTCCTTTCTCTTCAGATATCTTCTTTCAACTTAAGCTTCATGGCTCACTTGCCTTAAAGATAGCCCTGTGTTTGTGTGTGTGTCTGTTTCCACAAGTGAGAAGAGGAAAAAGTGGGAAGGTGAGAAACTGTAGTGGGAATGAAAACATCTTATGTCCTTTCCTTTTTTTTTTTTTTTTTTTTAAAGATAAGAGCCTTGAATATGTAGTCTAGGTTGGCCTCTAGTTCACAATCCTCTTCTTGCCTTCACCCCCAAGTGCTGGGATTATAGATGTGTACAACCACACTGGGCTCAGAAATTCAGGAATAATTTCTACTCAATAATAGGGCATTGGTTCCATCCTAGGAATATGGATGAAGGACAGATATTCAGAAAGTAAAAGCACTGACCAAGTTAACTACTCCTATGTTTTCAGAAAGTTCTTTTCTTCCTGCCATGTCATTATCTGTCCTATCCAAAATCCCCAGAGCAAATCAAGATAATCTGCCTTCTAATCAGAGGAGGTATATATTAAATGGCAGAAGGAAGATTCTACTTGGTTTCTCTCCTGTGACTGACTGCATCTCACTATTCTAGAAGCTTCTTTCAGTTTTAATTTCCTTTAAAAGGCAAGGAGGGAAATAGTGAGAAAGAAATGGTTAAAGGTCATGTAATAGGCTGACTTTACTTTTGCAGTAGAGATAATCTTCAGGGAAAATAACCTCAAGCACCATCCTCCCTTCTGCGCACCTCTGAAACAACTGCCACTTCCTAAGAATTCAGCAGAATGTCCCCTCCCCCTCTTGTCTTTGCTGCTCAGTGTGGCTTCCCTTCACATGTCACTACTGAAGCTGCTCTACTTTGCTGAGGTAAAGGGAAGCAATTCTATCCAAGTGTTTAAATAAAAACTTTTATCGAAATCCAGAATAATAGACCTCTCTTTCGTCCCTCAGAAATACTATTGCCATTAAAATGAACTTTCCATTTCCTTTAGGTAATTTATTTTGATTTGAAAAACATGTTTTCATTTTTTCCTTAATACATAGGTTATCAGGTGTGTTTAAAAAAAAAGCCAGAAAAGTGAGTGACTGCTTAGGTGTTGAACTCCAGTCTATAAATCTTGAGCTGTGGTAAACTGAGTCATGGTACAGAATGTCAATAAATACATAAAAATAGCATTTTTACCATTTAAAAATAACTATTTCATTTTGCTTTATCTGCTCTATATTTCAGTGTATTATCACTTTCATAATGAGAAAGATGGAAATCCTCAGAAGATGGAAGTTGAAGAGAGAAGGTTTTGTATGAAAAGGCTCATTACTGTTGCATGAAATGTGCTCCGTGACCATTGGTAGCATCTCCTTCTAGGAGTCATTAGTTTTCTTCTTTAAATAAAAGCAGAATATTCAATGTTTATGGCTTTTAAAAATGGTTGTTTAGATCAAGAAAGAAAAAAACAGGCGTGGAAGAAAGTGGGGAAATAGAAAGAAGTATAGTATAAAATTGTTTACTCTTTTACTATTCACATCATTTAAATTCAGGTAATACATTTTGATTAAAGATGCATGCTGGATTCATAAAAATAATGTAGTATTTGTAAAAAAACAAAACAAAACCAAAAACCAAAAGCAAAGCCAACCACCTTCGATTCTATAATTATAATGTGACTGCATAACATATAACCTATTTAAATGTAAATCTTTTGAATTAAAGTATCTTAGGGCTCCTTTAAGTGTGGATGTCCAGTTTTAAAAGCAAAATACACCAAATTTGATTTTCTTATAATAAAGATATTAAAAGTAAAAGACCAATACAAATTATCCCTCTAACATGTTTCTTTTATGAAAGCCTCATGTTTCTTGGTTTTGGTTCATGCCCAGTTCTGTCTTTTATCTTCAGTTCTTCTGTCATAACACAGGAGACTAGATTCCACAGCATTCTCTGTGGCTTCATTTGGGCTCGCAGTGATGAATAGGGATAGCTATGTTCCTAATAGTCCAATTTAGATTAAAAATATATCTAAAGGGAGAACAGCATGGGTATAAATCCTTTGATTACAGGAAGTAAAAATAAAAATGAAATGCATTATGGAAGATAAATACAGGCAAAGGCTTTTCTTCTTAATGGCACTTTAATTTTAACCTCCAAACCGAAAAATAGCTGGATATCCACAATAATAGCCACAATAATAGAATGGCTTAAGAGAAAATGGGGAACTAAAACATTATCACATATGTGACTGCATGTTGTATAAGACTGGATTTCTAGATATTTCAATGCCTGCTAATTATTTCCTATCATGGCGTTTTTCACCTGAGCTTGCCGTCAGGTAGGGGGGTAGGACTGTCTTAAAAATGCATTGCACTGAAAGGAAAACACAGTGATTATATAATATATATTAGGAATATCAAAGTCAAAATTATTGTTCAAAAAAGACAATAGGCTTTGCAATGCTGATATCACAACTCAGAAAAGTACAGTAAACACGTAATGACAATTGCATGCACACTCCTTCCCCCCTTGTCACCCACCTGATTCTCTATAAAGCTGCCCACAGAACATGACGCATAATGATCACTTAGCTCCCAGCATGCTTTGGGAGATGCAGCATTGCAAAAAACAAACAAAAACAAACAAACAAAAAATAAAACCCCAACAAAATGGGGGTAAAAAGAAGCTCAAACAATTTCTGCACATTAAATAAAATTAGAATATATTTTTTGAAATAGAACAACATAGCTTCAGATAAACACCACAAGGCCACCACCTCCAGAGAAGATCACCCATACACAAAGATACAGTATACATAGTACAGCAGCACATGCACTCCCAATAGATTCTGTGAGACAATACAGAGTAAGTAATGGCATATCACTTTGGAATGTTTTTGTGCAAAATTCTGAAAGGCCATGACCCAAATCACAGACTAAAAATATAGTGCCATCAATCTACACTTGTAGGTATAAACCCACACCAGTGTATTTGACTTTCCCTCAAGTCACTATATCTCATTAGGAGACCAGATTTGAGCCTTTTTATGTTTCTCGGTTGCTGCTCATGTTTGTTAAGGAAGGGGGAAAAAAATCTACTTTTTCAAAGAACTCTCATTAATTAACATCTCACTGTTAGGTGGGAGAAGTATTAACTTCTCCAATATTATTGAGATGCAGAACCACAATTTGATTTGATTGTATTACAGATAATTTGGTCCTGCATCTAAGAAGAACTTTGTGACTCAGTACTGGGAAAGCAGCAATCTGGGGTGGGGTTTCAGTGTTAATCCATACGAGGCTCTGCTGTTGAGGATGTATTTAATTCTTTAGATCCAGAATGACACTTTGCTTAAAATGTCTCATGACCAGTGCTGCTCCAATTAAAGGCTCAAAAATAACTGGAGAGCAAGTAGAAGGTTTTTACTAAATGCATTTCAAGTCATTAGGGGGAAAATGCAGAGAAGATAGAGCATGGAGGGAGGGAGAGGACAAGGAAGAAGGGGGGAAAAAAGCAAGAAAAAGAGAGAAAGGAAGAAAGAAAAGAAAGGAAAAACCAAGATGGTAAAAATTGAAATCTGTGATTGTCATGTGAACAATCCACACAGGAGAGAATTGCTTTACCATTCCCCATCATTTGCACAAAGAAAACAAAGAAAGGGCAGATGATACAGTACCTCCATGGTCTGAGACTGATGCATGGCTTTGATTGCATTCTGTGCCATTGCCCTTGTAGAAAATGTGACAAACGCACAGCCTGTGGGAAACAAGGGGACAGGGAGCAGGAAAGACAAAAAACAACAAGACAAAAGGGTTGGACGCTTGTTAAACCAACACAGTCTACGAGAACTGCCACAAGACGACACTGTTCTCAGTAGTACATAAAAATAAACAACTCTTTTTGGTTTTATCTTATTTTGCTTTTTATTCACAGTGCTGACTTGCTAATCTGACCAAAGTAGAAAGATTTATTAATTAATTTTTTAATGGACACTAAAAGAGGAAGTTAGGTACTTTTTTTGAGCCACAGGGTTTGAAATTAGCAAGATCTAGTTTTTATTTTCTAACATGAAAAGTTGTTATTCTCTATTTTCTCCTTGGCTGATGGTCTTTACACTGAGGACATTCCCATATCAGGGATTTGCATTTCAAATTTTATTGTTGACTTCTAGGAAGTAAATAAAATCTTCACACCAAGAGCAAATTAGCAAATAAATTTCCAGAGCTCAATGCATCAACAAATATATCTAATTCCTTCTGGGTAGTTAAAAAAACATTATGTATAAATATAAATTGATGCTATTCAAATGTAAACAAATACTAAATAGCATATAATAGGTTTAGTGTAACTATTAATTATTAACAAAAACAAATGCTTTATTACTTTGAGAATATTCAATAGTGTATAAAAATAAAACTTGAAAATTTGCCTTGGATTTATGAAATCTTCATGACTTGAGAGTTGTGACTTTGTGAAATGTGTCAGAGATTTGATCTGAAGTTTAACACACAAGACAATGTACATTTCTCTGAACATTTACTGTGAGACTTGTAAAGCTTTCCACGTCTGTTTTTTTTAGTGTTGTAAAAGAACTAGAATCTATAAATGCTGGTTCCTGCTTCTTGTAGCAGCATTGGCCACCATGCAGGTCACTGCTCCAACTACACGGCTCATTGCCTTCTGCACTAATAAAAACACTACATTTTATTCATCATGTACCCTTGGGCTTCTTAAGAGAAAAAGACTGTGAAATTAATGCAGATTCAGGCTGATTTTATAATAATACCACAGTGCACTAAAAGCTTAGCTAAAGCAATACAGACTTATTTCACTTATGATCTCTAATGACTTTAGAAGTGCATTGATTTTCAGCTTCTTTAGCCTTGCACAGTTTGAACTTAGGTATCAGAGAATAATTCAGTGTTCCACTCAATTTCCTCAAAACATTATTATTATTACTACTTAAAAAGATTTCCAAATGAAGTAGATCTAAACACTGAGAGGCTGAAGCCTATTGTCATTTCAAAGCAAATGCATGAAAGCAGAATTCTGGCATCAGCAATCTGAGATTGTTGCCCCTGTGGCCAATAAGCAAAATAGAACATTCTACATTCAAACAACTAGCAGATTGTTTGGTTTATGTGAATCAACTGGGAGCTATAAACTATATTTTCTTCTTTTGCTCTGCATGTCTACCTGGTGAGATTATCAAGTCAATACTGCTATTAGGCCCCTTGTAATCAAACCACAGTAAGAAAAGGCATTGCCTGCCCACTACCCCCAACAAACAATGACATCCAATCATGAAAATAAGTCAATGCATTTTTTTCCCCTTTTGTATCATGCTGTAGTTCTTAATATGCAAAATCTCTCAGTATATGGAAAATCCATTCACCTCGTGGTTAAGCGGGCCTAAAGAAGTTGGAATGAAGTCCAGCTCATCATGAGCTGTTTCATGTCGTTCTGACAGGACAGCAGCTGATGAAGCTTACTATGTAAAACAAGTTGTCTGTACCTAGGCTGACAGTAGCTCTTGTCATCAATACGAGCAATTTAATAGCCTTCTCTAAGACCTCTCAGTGATATACTCTATGTGTAATAGAGTGTGAGACAGATGACAGTACCTTTACTGGCTTTCATACTGATGTTGAGGTCTAAAATTATAGTCTCAAATTACCATCTGTTTCAAAGTAATATCTCTTAAAAATGTTATGACCACTGCCAACATTATACAGAGAAAATAACACCAAGAGATTTTTATTTTTCTATCTTTTTTGCCTTGGAGACAACAGTGGAGACAAAAGTGTTTAACAGAGATATAGAAGGAGCTATGCAAGGCCTAGTCTAATTCTGCCTTTACTAGTCAACAAGATTGTTATGTTCACTTCATTTGCTCTTGTTATCCAGGAACATGTGCCAACTGACAGTTTCCAAATGGAGGTTAAAAGTGCATTAAAAAACATGTAAAATGTCAACAAGAATCACACTTTATATATTTACCATTTCATAGAACTTTTGTAAGTAACTTAGTGAGAAAGATAAAGCAATTAGCAAGCCTGTGATGCAATACAACCACAAAATTAAATCTTCATAAATTTGAATCATTGCCCTTTCCTCCAAGAAATTTGCCATTTAAAACTCAACTGATGATTCTAATTTTACACTCTTTACCCCATCAAAAAACTGATTGAAAAATCTGATGACTTCTTTAACCTTTTTATTCTATTGGCAGTGGTGCGGTAAGAGAGAAGCTATCCTCCTTAGGGGTGTCTGTCAAGTTCTTTACTGTGTACTATGCTCAGTTACTTAAAAGAAAAAAAGGACTGTGTCATTTATAAAATAGGAGTTCATGTTGAAGAATTTCACTCTCTGCCACTCTGGATGAAGTTAAGAAACTTAAGAACCCAATGTTTCTTGGAATAGTAGCTTGTTAACCTTTGCAATTTCTTTAAAGCAGGAGGTCATGGCACTGCTGCGGATAGATGTTAATTTTCTTGACAACACCACTGAAAACACAGTTGGTAGCTTTGGGATAAGCCTCCAATTTGTGGCATTTTACTAACAGGATCACATGATTCCTGCTAGTAAAACTGGCTGCTGGCTTTTTCTCACAAACTAAGTACAAGGCTTTGCACTTGACTGAAATAACCTCGGTCATAATTGGTCCCTTCTTCTACTATGAATTTCTGCATGTATCAAAGTTAACTGGGCTGTCTGGACAGGACAACAGCTCTTGATCTTGTATTGTCAGCCCTTTAGTTGTTTAGAACTGTTGAATGTGTTATGTTAGCAATCAGTTCTCTGGCAACTGACCCAAGTGCTGCAGAAATCAGACTGGGAAAAATATACAAGTATCAAAATAATGAAGTCACACTTCATTTTGCTTAAGAATATATATATAGATATATATGGAAATTATGGTAAAACTTCCAAATATGAACAGCAACAAAAATACCCATCTGTAAATGTGGCCAACTTGTAATTTCCCTCACAATTATTTACTGTTTCCACTTTGAGAATGTGAGAGATTCCTAAAAGAAATGGAAGAAGTTGAATTCCTTTTATTTCGGTGAGGTTACCTTCTCGCTGCTAAAACAGATAGATGATTGACTTGGGAAAGGTTTCAGAAAGTAATTTCCTCCTACAGACAGGATCTAAGGAAAGCACAGAGCCTTGTCACAGAGAAGATTTTGGAACACATCTATTATACTTGTCATTTCCACTGAAAGGATATCCTAGGCTCAGGAGTTTTAACTTTTCTCTTAGCTGCATGAGAATTTTACAGAACTAGGTGAATTCTTGTTGCCTACTTACCTCCTACCAATAGAGAAGCAGAGGTACTTTTTAAAAGTATGAACAATGTCAGGACCTCTTGTTTTGATGTTTCCTCTTTGAAAGAGGTCTTTTAGCTATATGTTAACAAAAAGAAGCACAGTTTAACTGTGCAGCATGAAGGAGATTTCCGTTTTGGGAAAACTTCTTATAAATTCCTAGTAAAGATATTAATGCAAGCAATTTTCATTACTGTATATTTTTCAATGGCAGGACTGATCAAGCTCAGGATACCAATATAATGTTGGGAGATAAAAATTAGTATTCTAATGCACCATAGTCAATAGGTTAGTTTATTGAAAACTGGCATTGAGACATCATTCATTTATGGCACCTGAGGTTGAATGCAGACTAGGACCTCTTAGTAGCTGGCAAAAGGTCATTGTTGAGATGAGATTTGGAGACTGTACTCAGGATGAGATGGTAAAATGTAGCCAATAACCCGGGGGGCCATGTGATAGAAGTTCTGAATATGTGAATGTTTTAGGTACTGTGTGGGCAGGACTAAAATGTGACAAAGACTGTGTCTTTTTTATGTACATGTTGAAGTAGTTGAAGCTGTAATATATCCTGATCAGATACAACAAAAACAAAGGCAGATTTAATGGCCAAATCTAGTCTGTGCTCTCCAGCATCCATGAAAATACCGCCAATTCATTTGTCCAGGGTTTTTGGCAGGAGAATGTTGGAATATCATAAACACAGCTGAAAAATTCTTAAACAAGCAAAAAGCTACCTTAAATGGAAGTGAAGATGTGACTACAGTTTCGTGGAGAGAAAAAACAAACGTCATTGCTTTCCTGTTGTAGATATTCAATTGCCATGGTGCGGAAAACTTAGTGCATTAGGGTATCAGATAGTGATGATAACTGTTCTTAAATCTTAGATTCTGACTGGGGGAGTATGGATTCAGAAAGTGGGTATACTTTAAGAAATCAACATGCTAAGATGACACTGCCAAAAACATTTGCTTTAGAAACCTCTAACTTTGATTCTAAAAGCAAACATCTCATGTGCATTGCAATAGGTAAGCCTGTTTGTTTTCTCAATGGAAGTTCCCTCAGGGACCTTAAGAACTTCAGTAGTCATTGCAGAATAGTCTGAATAACTTTAAGCTGAATGAAAGCAACACAAGCCAAATTTCCCAAAATAGTAAAGACTGAAGAATGGGTTACTCCTTGTGAATAGGGAAAAGCATACCCAGATGTAGGCATACTGCCTAATTGAGGATGAGTCTGAATATTTGCAGAGAGGGTTCATGTGCTTGGCAGGTGCTAGGACTTTTAAAAGTCTTTGTGCCTGATACATAGCTCATGATTATTTTTTAAAATGTAGTGAATCCAACTATAGGTGTAAGCAGGTCTTGATAGGTAGTGTTATGGGTCCAGGCAGTCCACAATACTGATGCAGTGGGGGTACTGAGTCAATAAGCTGGAGAAATCTCAGTGGAGTGCCTATTAGGGAGGAGTTGAAACTACTGATGTGGCAGAGAAGAAATGCATTGGAAATCTATGGGGACCCAGCTACACTATGGTCTCCCCTTTATCTTCATACTTAGAGCTGAAATGGATAAAAAGCATCACACCCTCATCATAATCAAATAGTTCCTCTATAAAACCTTCTTAATAAATAGTTTATGCTTTGGTTTTGTAGCAGAAAATACTTTTCAGAGAAGCCAAGCTTTCATTTTGCTTAATTTTTATTTATCTATTTTCTTTTCTTTTTTTTTTGGGTCTGTCGTGGATCCTGAACTCTGGGCCTGGGCGCTGTCCCTCAGCTCTTCAGCTCAAGGCTACTGCTCTACCACTTGAGCCACACCACCACTTCTGGCTTTTATTTGCTTATGTAGTGCTGAAGAATTGAACCCAGGGCCTCATGCATGCAAGGCAAGCACTCTCCCACTGGGCCACCTTCCCAGCCCTATTTACCTATTTTCTAAACAGTTGAACCAGCAATAGACAATGCCAAAAGAAATGCTGAGTACTTTCTGTTTGCAATGCCATTAATGGGAGACAATTATTAATATTTAATTAAAACCCACAATTCTTTAATGAGAACAAAACAATAGCATGAAGGAATTGTTCTTTTAACAAATACATGGATATAGGAGCAGGCCTATGTAGCCAGGAGTCTCTGGGTCCTGCTAATTGATAAACTTACCACTGTCTGTCTTTGTATTTCAGAACAAATGTTTACAAATGATTATTTTCTTTTTTCCAATAGGGAATTCTCATCGGTTCACTAGAAATTACTTTTCTGTCAAAAAAGGGAGAGGGTATCTCCTCTTTACATTGAGCCAGTATCTGTGTAAAATATTGATGAGAAGGTTCCCACAACTTGTTTCAGAGACAGGCTGCTTCTGGTATGAAGTGCTGGTTAATCAACCAAATGGCAGATCAAATTAGCTAAGTTTAGCTAAGTACCAAGTGCCCTGCTCTTTCCCATGAAATTTATGGTACTTAAAAATCTTATGTGCAGAAATAACTGATGTATGCTCAAGGTACTCTAACTGTTCTATCCTGCTCCTCCTGGAGAAATGGAGAAAAACAGTCAAACAGGAAGTCATTTTACAAATGGAGAGAGAAATCTTGTACTGAGATTTCACATTCAAGGTCTCTACTCACCTACACACAGAGTAAGCTTAGGCAAAAAGGACCACACTGATTATTTATGATGCCCTATGAAAGGGGCAGGGCAGATATTTTCACTGTTATCCTTTAGAAATGGACAACTGAGGGACAGAGATAGGAAAAGGAATTGGTTACATGTCATATTAACAAGTTTTGTTTCTGAAACTTAGGGCCACTGACTCTTAAACCACTGATAATTCCACTGTGATTAATTTGAGGGCCTTCCCTTTTATGCCTTCTCTGTGCTCTGTATGGAGGGGAATGAAAAATATAATGATAACATTGATACACTCCTGAGTATAACAACAGAACAGGGATTCTAATTAAAATAGCAGCAGAAAAGGGATTATAAAAATATAATCCTATCTTTCCTGTATGTTTTATTCTTTATGTAGCCATACTACCTTTTTCCATGGTATTCCCTATCCTGGTTTGTCTGCCTAAGCAAATGGGTGGAGATACACATATAAAACACTGTAACAGAAGTAGATGGTAGGTGGACTAGAAGTTCTCATGGCTGAGCTGGCTAGGATGACTCTCCTAGTTTCACTCTTTCTGTGAGATTGTACATGAACGAGAGGTGGTTCTACTACAATGATGGACTATTTGGTTGACAGTGATGGCAGCACAGGTGGTAAGGTACAGACAAGCCTCAGGTACCAGATCTGTTGTTCAGTGATCATCCTCAGTATCTTGTACAGCTTTTAGAGAATCACATCTTTGAAGTGAGGACTAGGTAAAAAGCATTTCAGAATTGTTCCAGAATGTGTAAACCATGATTTTAATGATGCTTCTTTTTCTTCCTTGAAGCTACTTTCAGAAGAAAACAGGAATTGAAAGCTGGGTGCTGTCCTACTTCCCAGTTTTTTAGATCACCTCCATTTGGGGGTTGTGGAGGTAGATGTAGGTGGAATATTTTTCTTCAGGGCTTTCAGTCCTAGCAGCTGACACCATGAAGCTGCTACAAATGTCCCCCTTCACAAGATACTGAAATTTGGTAAAACTAGGGAGACAGGTGAAAATTAGCACCTTGATACTTACAGCCCAACGTTTGCTTTCAGCATGTGGCTTGGGTGCTAGTGACAGCCCAGAACCAGAACTTGCTGCAAAAAACATGGAAGTGAAAAATGTTTTCTATATATATTTCCACTTCATACTGGTTTGGGACACTATAGCCAGACAACAATTACTACTCAGGACCAACCTTTATGAGTACTTTAAGAAAGGAGGTATGCAGTCTTGTTGAGGAGGTTATTTCTTGCAAAAACATAGGTCCTTCATGGCTCTGGCCACAATTACATTGCTATTATGGTAGCAAAAGAAACGTCTACAATTTTCTTCAGGAGAAAAATAATTTTTTTTCCTGTCCTTTGAAGGACTCATGGCTTAGGGATTCGAGGGGCTTCACTCTTTGAAATGAAACTCAAGACCCCAGGGAAGCTGAGTTACTGCACACAAAAGCAGTGTTGCTGTTTCTTGGCTCGGAACGCTGTTGAGAGGGTCCTATCCTAACATTTCCTTTAGGCTCAGGGAGAAAGCCAGAAGACTAAGGCAAAGCTCCTCTCTCTAAAACCTGCTTCAATCTCAGGATGCAAGGAATGTGCAGTGATAGGGCAGCCTGGCAGGTAACCATGTGACAGTGATGATCCAAGCTAATATGCTGGCACTCAAGCCTGGGAAATAAGAAGTGATCATTTCAGTTAAGAGTGAAAATTCAGGCTGGATCACTCTGTCACTTGGGATGCATTACAAGGTGACATTCTGCAGTATACAGTACATAATCCACCTGGACTGGGGCTCAGAGGTCCAATATACTCACCTCGACTCAGCCCGTCGGGTCCCCGGAGAATCCGACATTCTTCTATCTGGCCAAATGGAGAAAACATCACTCTGATATCATTCTCATTACATTTCTTTGAAACCATTCCTATGAACAATTTTCTGTCTTCCACGGCTAGGAGATAAAAAGAATGAATAAGCAAAGGCCATCTCATCTTTATTTCTTGTAATCAATGCTTCATTACCACATCAGACTAGGCCCTGCCACGTAAGATTGAATGTAGTCCTAAAGCTCACTCTAGACCTCCAGTCTGCCCCTCCTCTTAGACACCAGATCCTGCTTCTCCCTTTACCTTGCTCTTCAAGAACACCTCATCTCTCTGTAGTCTTCTTGTTCCTAACATGATGTCTTCATAGGACACAGAAAATCCTTTTCTATCCATTCAGAAATTAATGGGCATAGGTTTGGTGGCTCACATCTGCATTTCAAGTTACTAAGGAGGCAGAGATCAGGAAGTTTGTGATTCAAGGCCAGTTTGAGAAAAAGTAAGACCCATCTCAACAAATGAACTGGATAAGTGGTTCATGTCTGTAAAGATGAGAGGATTTCAGTCAGGCTGGCATGGGGAAGTGCAAGACTATCTGAAAAGTAAATCAAGAAGGGATGGAGACATGGCTTGAGTGATAGAGCACCTGCCTAGAAAGGGTGAGACCCTGTGTTCAAACCCCGGTATTGCCAAAATAAAATTAATAGTAAGATGTTTATGTTTACAAAAATTTTAAAGTACTTATGTAATTGTCAAACATTACCATTCTGTGGTGTTTACCATTGTGTAGACATGTGTTTGGATACAAATTTTATTTTACTTTATTTTTATACATGCTACAGAAAGATAAAGATCAGAAGAGGGGAAATAGGAGATACAGTTTAACAGCATGTGAAGCTTCTAACAAAGGTTCCAAGGGAAGAGAGTACTTTTCTTACTCTATTTCAAACAGCTAAGTCCACTGATCAAGACGAGAATCAGAGACCACTTAGTCTTATTTCTCTGGAGAACTAGGAAAGTCCCCTTGCCTTGGCAGTATAGCTTTCCTAGGTTCCTCACCTGATTCTAATCACCCAGGGTAGTTACAAGGGAAGCAGATGCAAATCCTAGCAAAGGGAAGTAGGGTCTTGTTACCCCTGGTATGCACAGGGGTGAAAAACTTCAGAGAAGTACGAGGAGGAAACTCTACCTTCAATCACTTGGAGGTAGGATTTTTGAGGGAGAGATGCACATTAGGTATCATACTAATATGTGCAAATTGACATTTGACAGGGTAAAAATGAAGCAACTTCTGCTTCAGGTGATCCAGAGAGTCTCTCAAAGTTTCCATGCTGTGCTTGGGATCTGTGGCCTATATTTAGATTGAAAGACTGGGTTATAACTAATTTTTAGTACAGTGCTAAAGGAGTTGTTTTTAACCTTTTTAGGCATCATAGATGCTCATGGGGAGAAGCCTTGCTTATTTGCTTCATTTCAATCCATTTATTTGTACTAAAAAGAAGAAAGAAAAAGGAAGAGAAAGGAAGAAGGAAAAAGAAGAGAAAGGAAGAAAGAAAGAAAGAAAGGAATGAAGGAAAGAAGGAAGGAAGGAAGGAAGGAAGGAAGGAAGGAAGGAAGGAAGGAAGGAAGGAAGGAAGGAAGGAAGGAAGGAAGGAAGGAAGGAAAGGAAGTGGCTACTTTAGGAACTACAGAGTCCTGGCTTGGACACAGGTTGATGTATATAAATCTTTGTTCTCAATCTGTTTATAATCTTGCCATTCCCATTAAATTCTCTCATTTCTGTTTCTTTTTGTCCTTCGTGGATGGATAGTATCTTATTTTCATTTAACCAACGAAGATCTATTGCAGACTTATGGGGGCCAGTTGCTTCTGGGTTCCAATTAAAATATGTAGTCTGTGCCCTCTTGAAGCTGGGGAAGATCTGTTCATGAAGCAGGCCACTCAAGAGTAACCCTGTGCAGCGGGATCCCCTGTGGTGACAGCAAAGTCCCGTGTCTGTTCTAATACTACCTGATGTCATGTATGGCTACTGGGCACTTAAAACTGGTTAATGAGATTAAGGAACTGAGTTTTTTTTTTTAAATGTAACTTCATTTCAGTTAATTTAAAAGCCCATGTAGCTACTACAGAGGGCAGTATAACTCTGAAGAATCTACATGAGCCAGCTGAACGATCTGTCATAAAATTCCAGAATGTAGATGAGGAACTTGAGAAATATGTTATTCATCCAGCCTCCAGTGTTCTTTTCCATCTACTGTATTTGCTTCAAATGCAGAGGAAGCAGATGAGTCTTAAAGGTTACAGCCAAGGCCATGATTTAAAAAACCACAAAAAACAAAAACAAATTAAAAAATACTTAGGTTCTCTATGCTGCCATTAACTTGATGTTGATGTTGGAGAATTTTGGGACTTCTGGGATCACAATTTTTTCACCCAGAGATGCAGGTTTATTCTTTTCTTTCTCCCCCTACAGCACTGGAGAGAAGGTAGCTCAGCTATATGCTTCAGCTAGCTGAAGTGGCAGATGCTTGGAGTGATGCGTAGTCATTCTCACCCAGTCTCTCTCCATTCTTAAGATACCTTGTAAGACAACTCAGAAAAACTCTAAGACTCTTTTAAGAAGCACATATCTTTGAATAGACTAGCAGTGGGATGAGGAAGCAAGTAACTAGGCCTGACACAGAGTTAACAGTAGCAGGAGTTTAATTTTAGAGGATAGAAGGCTGACAGGGGTGAAGAAGGGGCTCAAAGACAAGGAGAGTACTGGCCAGTCAAAGGACACTCAAAGTAGTCATGAGCAACAAGCTTGATGGAATCTGATTACTGGGAGAGAGGATGCTGAACACCTGACTGCCTTTAGTTAGTTGAGAATTTTTCAATGTAAGTCTCATACCAATGATCTACTTTGAACTGGATTAAGCCTAGTGGTCAGGCACAGCAAGGAACACCAACACTGAAACATCAAGAAGCCCCGGCAAGGAGCTTTCTTTAAAGCTCAGGGCGACTCTAGGCTACCTATGATGCCTAGACTTGTTCACATGGGAGGATTCTGGCTGAGTAGCCCTGTGGAAAGGAGTATTCTCTTTAGAAAGGGGAGATAGATGGAACTGATCAAAATGAGGCAGAGGACAGAAGGAAATACTTCTAGTTTGCAGTTGTTATTCCTTCTTCCCTCTCATCTCTGAGACTCCTGTACCCACCAAAATAAGATAGGCACCTGTATGAAAATAATCAAAATTTTTGTTGTATTTCTCCTACCTTGGAAGATCTTATTTCAGTTTTTTTAAGTAAAAGAAAAAAATCTTACTTGGTCCCTGTCTTCATTGGTAAACCTCTAATTATGGTGGTTGGCTCATACAATTTGCAGGTTTTGAGTTCCAGGGTAATACTATAGTAAGTTGAAAATGTAGCTACTAAAGTAAGCTAAAAAATGACTTTTCCTAAGATGAATATTCAAAAAATGGAAATTACTCATGAGAAAACCTGATGACTAAGAATAGCCATCTCTAAGGATAAGCCCAGCCAGGCCATGAGAGGAGGGTAACTTTTTTTAAAACAAAAAACAATGATTACTTAAAGGGGGAAATAAAAAGGAAACTTTCCCATTCATATGCTATTCAAAATGTTAGTCTTCTTTGCTGCATGTGTGCAGGAAGCTGGGCCTTTATAATCTGTTACTAGTTGAAGTTACTTTTGTGGTCACAAGAGTTTGGCCATGTTGGCTTTAGGAATATGAGGGTCATTAAACATCTTTCTTCTCCCCTGAGCTATCTCAGCTTCCAGGGAAAATTTTTTTTGTAACATTTGTTCCCAGCCTTCCCCTTGTAAATATTCTAAATAAACATAATTATCTTGAATTCACTTAACTCTGCTATCACTTTTTGGTAACTTTATTGGTGAGTATTTTCTGAGTATTAATGGGAAAATAAGTTGTGGGTTTTATTTTTGGTGCTGGTCCTAGGGCTTGAACTCAGGGCCTGGGAACTGTCCCTTAGTTTTTGGTCAAGGCTAGCATTCTTAACACTTGAGCCTGGACCACTCTACTCCTGGATTTATTGGACTTCCCTGCCCAAGCTGGCTTTGAACCATAATCCTCAGATCTGTTTCCTGAGTAGCTAGGATGATAGACGTAAGCCACGAATGCCTGGTTTGCTCATTTAGAAAAAAATCTATGAGGATGTGGATTCCATAAATGTTCACACTACTATATTCATACTAGACTACTAGGTACTCTTGGGGGATGGGAGGAGAAATGAAAGGTATAGTCCCTGCCTGCATTTTCCTCTAGGACAGCCAGTGAGTGCAGGGCCAGACCTTCATATGTGAAGTGCTCACAGATGGGGTCTCCCCCATTAATAACAAACGCAGAAGGACTGAAAGGGGTTCCACACTACTAACCATTTAAAGTTCACCCTTGGTATCATGAATTAAGGGTAAAGTCTTAGTATAAGGGTAACTTTTTAAAGTTAGGGGAATAGAAACTTCATTAAAAAAAATCCCTAATTGTAAGTCTGTGCTAACACTCTGGTGTAAAATCTGTCAAAGTCACACCTGGATTTGGGGTTGCCTGAATTAATTAACAACTTTTGAATGTGTTAGTGCTAACATATGGCATTTAATTACTGCCTCCAAATCTGTGAGTCTCTCCACTATGAATTTCAAAATTATTTCCTCATCTTTAAGTAAACCAAAAAGTGACCGGATAGAAACATCCGTGATTCCTCCTTTGCAGGTCTTCACCCCTGCCCCCCCCCCCCGCCCCCAACAAAATTAAGTTACCATGACTCCTGCTAGCTCTAAACTTGATGCATAAATACAGGAGGGTTTGTAGGTTCTGAGAAAAGGAGTCTGTGGTCTACTTATTAAGTAGCATTTCTGGATACTAGGCTTTTAAGGATCCTTGACAAGTTGTAAGGCTGGAAGGTTAAAGCAGGGTGGATTTATATGCTCTGTCTAGTGAGAGTAAAAACAATCCCCTCGCAACAAGAAGCATGGCATAATACTCAATACTGGCTCCAGCTTCAGAGATGCAAGCACAGGAGCAGAGGTGATTCCATGAGTTTCTTATCATACACTGCTAGACTAGCTTCAGCAACTGCTTTTAAGTCTTGCACAGCTAGTACCTCCTATTGTACCTACACTTATTGTACACCCAGGACTAATGCTTGGTTGGTATAAATGAAGAAGAATGAAACAGAATAATTAGGCTTGTGTGGTTAATTCAGAACCTTAAACCTACACCTCACGTACTCACTCCATATATCACTCATTCACTTTTTTCTACAATGGAAAAATAACAAAAATGTTGTGTTTTGTTGACAGTTGGCTATTTCAATGTATTCTTCTTAAGAGCTTTATTATTATTATTATTATTTTTTTTTTTTTTTTGTCGGTCGTGGGGCTTGAACTCTGGGCCTGGGTGCTGTCCCTCAGCTCTTCAGCTCAAGGCGAGCGCTCTACCACTTGAGCTACAGAGCCACTTCCGGTTTTCTGGTGGTTTATTGGAGATAGGAGTCTCACGGTCTCTCCTGCCCGGGCTGGCTTTGAACCATGATCCTCAGATCTCAGCCTCCTGAGTAGCTAGGATTACAGGCGTGAGCCACCAGCGCCTGGCTAAGAGCTTTATTATTGACTGCTTATTTAGGGTGGGTTTTTTTCTTCTTCTTCTTGTTTGGATACCAGGTTCAGTAGAAGAATGTGATCAGGAAATAAGATGTTGTGAGTCTGTACAAATGTGCTACAGGCTGAAGCTAAAACTGGAGCCAATTGGAGGGCATGGTATAAGAAACCACAGAGATTTAGGAGACCCATTAAGTAAGATCTATACTACAGGGTTGACCTAGGAACAATCTAACAATTTCTGGGCTCACCACAGAAGTTCCTTTTATCAGAATCTCTAGATGTATGAGAGTTTCAAAGGGTAGTTGTAGTTGCGTTGCTGGAATTCATTTGTCCATCATTAATTGATCTGTGATTAGCAGCCCTTTCTTGCTCAGCAAATATAAAGTTTTAGAAATCTGAGCACAGAGATAATGAAGACAGTTACTGTCTGACTGTGATGAGTCCTTTGTGCTGTACATAAATGTCAGCAAACTCAATAAAAGTGCAATTAGAGCTCGTTATACTTCTTTCACAGCTACAGCAGCTATTTACAGCATCTGAGCTAAAGAAATCTTAGTGCTCTTTGAGCTTTTAAAACTATGCTTACCTGTCAGAAATGCCATGTGGAAGCAGAAAGGGCTGCAGCTTTTATCACCTACTTTAGAACAGCACATAATTCTTCTGTTTCTTAAATCAGACCCAAGGAGAACCATGAAATATGCTCATGTATACAAGATGAAATTCCATGGGAAGGTCCATAAAAAGAACCCTGAAACATAGCTTTTAGCCCATTTGTAACTTTTGTTTTTTTCTTACTAGAAATGTAGATAATGAAGGTCAGTCTACAAAGTGGGAGGACGGTAGCCTCTACTAGAGGGTTTGGGGGTTTCCTTTCTATGTACAGGTCTACATTTTAAACAGCCAAAGCCTGGTCTTGTCAGCCTCTGCCAACTCAGACTGCACTGAAACATCATCCTTGGGGGAATTATGTTAACTTAACGTAACAATACACTTAAAGATCCGTGCCAGATATTATATATACTAAGCTCTTTACAGATAAGATAAAATGTTAACTTAGGTAATCCTCAAACAACCATGAAAGGCAAATATAACAAAATGAGTTCACAGCCACACTATTGTAGCCCCTTCTTAGAGCTGAAGATGCTGAGGCTACATGAAGTTATGTAACTTGTCAAAGGACACAGCCAACAAGGGCAGAGTCCATTCTAGACTCTCAAGACCTTAATGTATATCCCCATGCTTTTCCCGATTTTTAGGCACTTCCTTATCCTAGCAATAATTGTGCCCACTTCTTGTCTTTTGAGATCACATAATACTGGGGACACCCATGTGCATGGTAATTTTAGTCTTCTGTAACTATAGACCTAATGTAAATATGATCTTCAGTGTTTAAAGCAGATATTGGACAGAAAGAGAAGCAAAACACTCTTGAGAACTCCCGGCAGCTTGCCTATGCAAAGGATTCCTATGTCAGAGTGTGTGTGTGTGTGTGTGTGTATATATATATATATATATGTATATATATATATATATGCAAAGCAGAAAACATGAAAGAAGAAATCACCTCAGGTTTCAACTATTTGGGTATTTCAGGTCATGTTTTCAGAAAGCGCAGCTCTCTAATTCATGCTGTTATAAATACAATGTAGGCTCAGAAATAAGACAAATCCTTTTCCAGAGACTTTAATCCCATAGCCAGCACCCTGACAGTTTAGAGAATTGCTCAGAACATCTCTTGGTAGCTAGTCGCTCCAAGAAGATGTGCAATGACAGGGTTCATCCTACAAATGTAAGATTAATCTCTCCTGCCTGCCACTAAGGGATAGAACAGATGGTGAATGGGCACCTCTGGGGCAAAAGAGCTCCAGAAATTAGCACAGGAAATGGCCTTGTGCCTAGGCAGACATGCTGAGCAAAGAACACTATAAAGTCAGGGGATAGCTCTGAGTGATAACAATAATATTTTACAGAAGTACTCTATCATTTACAAAATCACTTATAAACCATATTGGAGCATCTGGGAAGAACAAAAAGCCAACCCAGGTTAGGTAATTACCATTGCTCCTATAAATAAGATTCAAAGTTGCTTATTTAAGTATCCATTGGGCACTTGAATCAGAAGACTGAGTATGAGATCAGTCTCTTGCAGTCTTTTCTTTTTCAAGTTTATTGCTACAAAACCAACCTTCCCCCTAGAGACATATCTGATCCACAGTAAGTAACCAACAAGTTGTTGTTGAATGAATGAATGAAGCAACTAAATCATATTCTATCAACAAAGCATTGGCAGAGGTTAGAACTTGTGTTTAGAACTAAATTCAGTGTATCTGATAAAGGAACATGGGAAAAGTGAATTCTCATTATGAAAAGTATAGGGCTAAAGAGCCAGTGGGAAAAGTATCAGTGTTTGCTCCATGTCCAGGAAAGCTCTCATGTACCAAGTGCCAGCAGTGCCATGCAACAACTTGGAATTATCTTTACAACTTTCTAGTCTATGAAGAAGCCAGAAAATGGGCTGTACTACAATTAGCAAAATATACCTTGGGGGAGATTTAGAGCCCAACCATAATTTACATGTGCAGATATGCAGCTCTCTAAGTGCATGGCTTCTGCACTCATTACTAATTAATGAGGTGCAAAACTGCCTGCTGGAAGGAAGCCGTGCTGATTATGCCAGTCTTGTGGGGCGAAGGGGCTCTGTGCTATAGGAAGGTGGAAGGTTCTTTTAACATAGATTTCAGGAAATTAAAAGAACAAAACAGGGACAGAACATCTGTATAAATGGAAGCAAAAACTTAAGAGAGAAATGTGGGTTATCAACTCTAGTAGCTTGACGAGGCAAATTCCAATTATCTCATGGACCTCAACAAATGCATATTTTTGCAGTGAGTGTATATTTATTTAACCAGCAGGTTGAGTTATGATGTAAATGTATTGGTACAATTTAGAGAAGAATGCAATAAGACAAAGAGGAATAAAGGAAAAGATTAAAAACAAAAAATAAGAAAATCTATTTTTTAATGGGCAACTCCTTTCTCTCTCTATGTTGTGTTGGAGGGAATATCACATGACCATCACACAGGACAAGCCTTAGGCAGGTAGTCATAGAAAGGCATTCCTTTAAATGTCACAGATCTCCGCACCAGAGGTAACTATGACAGAGGACTAGAGTGTGTACTTCTCCAGATATGCTGACCACAGTGGAAGGTAGTGGGTCAGCAACCTCCCGTTCCAGGGCTAAAATGTAGCTAGACCAGTCCCCTCTCCCCCACCTGACTTATATAGAAGCAGACATTATTGAAGAAGCAGTTGGTTACCACCTACCGTTTGACTTTTCACTATCTGCAGGTTTCATCTGAATAGGATGATGCATCTAAAAATACAAAAGTGAGAAAGTAAAGGCAGATTGAACAACTGTAAAACCAGTCTCAGAAATCTGATACTATATGACTAAAGTACTGCTCTTGTTACCATGTAAGTAATAACAAAACTTTTCTTGGGTAAAACTACCTATGTTAAAAAACACACTTGAGTTTTGTTTTCTGGAATATGGCCTTTTAAGTCAAGGGGCACTGAAACATAGTACTTAAAAGCTTGGGGGCTTTGGAGTCAGGCTTGACCTCAAAACTGGCCTTGCCAATTAATACAATTTCTGCCTCTATATTGTAGATAATTCTGATTCTGTCTTTCATTACAGCTACATGATCTTGGATTTAGTGTTTTAACCTCTCTGAGCTTCAGCCTCCTCTTTGGTGAGATGGAGATACTGCTGGCATACAGAGTGATGAGAAGTTAAATGAGAAAACGAATGTAAAGTGCTTCATACATAAACAAAACCTAGGATGTGTTGACAAAAATTAGTTATTGTGATTGTATTATTCAAATGTAGACTGTCCTTGTTTTTCTCCTGGTTATTCTATATGTCTGCTTTGTGGATTTCATTCAGGTTTCATAGTTATGCATAATTTGAAAGTCTAGCAGTTGATTGATTCAGGCATCAATATGTAATATTTTTATGTGCTAAATATAGAACAGGAATGAGAGCCACTGGAATAACACAGAGAGTGAGTATGAGGAAAGGCAAAGAGAAGAAGAGGGAGGAGAAGGGGGAGAGAAGGGGAAAGAAGGGTAAGAGGGAGACATGGGCCTTATGATCATAGTCAGTAATATGCAGGAACTGAAAGGCCTTGAAACAACTGGGTATGACATCCAGGTGGACTCAGGATGCTTCTAACCCTTTATACAACGCTGACTATATCATTGTGTGTGATCCTCAGAGTTTACTCCAAGCACAGGATGTCACCACCATTTCCAATTAAAACCAATTCCTCAAACTACTTTCACAGGTCCTCTTGCATCCCATTTCATCATACCCTAAGGAACACAGAAGCCATAGGGTGGATGGAATCACTGGCTGTGCAAATGCTTTTATTATAATGGGTCCCGTTCTCTGTGAACCTTTAATTTCCCCCGTGGACTTCCATCACTTGCAAGCAAGCCACAGCCTGGGTTTATCTAATTTGAATGAAAGGAGAATAGTACTTGGCTTTGGCACTTATATGATGGGAAATTATTATCAGGCCGCCCATGTGCACCTAATATCTGCCAGGGTTTTTAGAACACAAGAAGAAAATGAAAGAGGAAGGACTGTCAAGGGATAAGAGGTTAAATAATGTAGAGCTTCTTCATTTCCCTAAAACGCCAAGATGATCTTATGCATAGAACACAGACCCTGGGATGTAAGATCTACCAGTAGGCTCACTTCACTCATTCATACTTTTCATTTGTGGAGCAGGGAAGACAATAAGAACATAATGTGTATAGAGATCCTAAGTAGACATGCCTTTTCATAATAAACGTAGAATATTTACCTTAAAAAGCAGGCAGGGGTAAACTGTAGAAACACCTGATTTAGGCTAAAGAATGTGGAGAAGACAGATAAAATGTTTTGTGAAAATCAATAGTCTTTGAGTAAACTATCCTTCCAGGATGTGTCTGTCCACTTGATCAGCAAACATGGAAGAAATACCTACTGCATGTTGAGCTCTAGGCTGAGGCATGGGAACACAGGTAAAGTGAAGATGGTTCCTTCCTTTTAGGTGCTTACTGTGTGGTAGGAAACATTACTGTAGCCAGTCAGGCAATATGTCCAGTGCTGGAGGAAAGGCAAGAAAAAGCTTCTAGGAGTCTAGAGGTGTAGGTAATTTACTATCTGGAAAAGAAGGTGAAGGTTGAGCCAGTTGTGGTAGTGTGCACCTGTAATCCTAGCTATATACACAGCAGGCTGAGCCAAGAGGATTCAGAGTTCAAGGCCAACCTCAGGAAAGTAATTGATATGTATTTAGTAAAATATACTCAGAATAGCAACTAAGCAAAATAATACAGCCACAAAAGGGCTCTGAATATAGTTCAAGTGGTATAGCACTTGCTTAGCATGTACAAGGTCTTAGTTTCAACCCCTTAGTACCACAAAAACAAAACAAACAAAAAGGTGAAGGTTAGCCTAGTATCTAGGGATGATACATGAAGCTCATTGGCTATCCCAAAACCGAGGTAAGAGTGGGTACACTGCTTTCCTTTCTGCGAGGTGTTCATCCTGTCATGCAAGTAAGGAAGGGAATGAGAAGAGCTACAAAGGTGTCAGTATCTAGGTCTGAGAGCGTCTTCTGAGTTGAGACTGCTTTCATCAGGTTCATGGTCAGGTACAGATTTAAGTAGCAAAGGCAAAAAGACAGAATTTGAAGTGTTGAAAAGTTGGTTTTGGCCATGGCACAGAGGACTGACTATAGAAGAGAGACACAGGAGCCAGGGAAGACAGTGAAAAGGTTTCTGCAAATAGCCCAGGTAACACTAAACTTCAATGGTAATTGGCAGGTCATGAGATGAAGAAGGATAACTCCAGACTCAGACAGCTAAATGGATGATAGAATCATTCCCCAAATAGGGAAAACAGAAAGGAGTTTTGGAGGAGGCTAACAAGCACAGGTCTGGATATACTACATTTGATGTGATGAGATAGAGAAGTTGGAAATGCGGAGATCAAGCTTGAGAGAGGGGCCAGGCCTCAGAAGCCATTGTGGTATGTGGTAATGGAAACTACAGCATCAGTGAAGCTGCCAGGATGACAATGAGAAAGAAAAGAGTCAACAGTGATGGGAGAACCATGAATCATGAGGAAATGGGTATCTAATAAAGAGGACAGAGCAAAGGTCAGACAGGGAGGTAAGAGAAGCAGGAGACACGGATCCTGTAGCGGCTGCATGGTCAGAACAGATGCTACTAGAGACCATAATGAAAACACCAAAATATCTTTTGGGATTAGGCAACAAAAAATTCTCTAGGGAATTTGTCAAAAGTAGTTTCTGGGAAGTAGTAGGGCCAAAACTCCACATTGTAGGGAGAAGAGGCATAATGGGTAGGACAACAATGGGTATGACAGATGAAGACTACCACTTGAGATTTGAAAATGGGCAAGATGGGGTGAGAATGGGAGGTGACATCTTTTATTTCAAGATAGAAAAGACCTACCTATGTTAATATACTAAAGAGTCAGATAAAACTTACAGAGAGAAAATATACACGCATATCCTGTAACTAGAAATGAAATGAACATGACTCTTGCCCTCAAGGAGCAATGTGTATATACTAAATAAAAAAGCAGTAGGGGTAATCAACAGCATAGCAACAGCAAAAACAGATGTCACAAGCATTCAGGTTTACCTGTGATATGCATGGAGAACTGAAGGAAAAAATCTGGTTGGGACAAAGGCAGTATCTTTCTGCTCTGAAGCTGTGAAGGGTCCTAGAAATCATAGTCCATTGCTATAAATGGAGACATTTATAGGTGTGATTCAGGGAATAAGCAACTTCTCTAAGGATAGATACAAAGCTGGTGAACAGTAAGAGTTGGGATGAGAAATTTAATCTCCTTACTCTAAATCCAGTGATGGCTTCCCTAGACCACATTGCTTTTCCACAAAACGTCCAATGTGGAACACACTGGTCTTCAACTAAGAACTTCAGGTTTTACTCGCTAAAGGAGCCAAACAGTTGTTTGAAGGCATCTGCAATATTCCCTTACCTGAAAGTAGTCTTTTGTTCTAAACTGCCACAACCCTTTGTCTCTATAACCTAAGACTAGTATTACAGTATGACTCCAGGTTTTATTTTCTTGCAGCTGTTCTGTTTCTCTTTTAAAACTATCCAGAAGGCTCGTGGGAGCATATGGGCAGTGGCAACAAAGCAGCTTTATCACTGTAGACTTGGGCTGTGTTTTGGTCTTCTCTGGACCCTCGGGGAAAATCTGCTTTATAGAGATCTGGATTGGCAGACTATGGAAACTTGAATGGGTGGTCACCCAACTGCACATACATTCTGAAGACAATTAAGATAAAGTATGTAAAAGCAATGTGACCTTCTTTGAGAAAGGTGTTCAGCTGGTACTATATTAAGAAAAGCTCATTATCATAGACATTGTTTATTGAAGTGATACAGTTTGAATAACATGTAGCAGGTAAATGTCAAGCAAGACAAGAATGATGAGGAGTCATTCTCATAATGTTGTTTCTCTTCCTCAAAATTCCCCAATTCTAAAAACTTGGATGGAGAGGGAGATTACTGCAGAAGAGTATACATTCTGTTTTAAAGTTTCACATTTTAAGAAAAATATTCTTTCCGGAGAGGAGAAGGGATTTCAAATATTGAATCCATATGAATCTAGAACTATACATCCATTCTCTCCTTCCTGCTTTTAGCAGATGCTGTTAGATGCTGGAAAGGCAAGGAGGATGCGTTCTTACCATGAGATGGAGCTTGTGTTATACAATAGAGAAAGATCCATCAACCATTTTTCAGAGTCTGATAAGTGTGCTGTGCTAAGACATGCAGTGTGGAAACTCAGAGAAAGCAAGCCCAACAGAGACTATGGACAGAAAATTTCATTGAAGGTGGCTCAGATGGAGAAATTCTTCTTAAAGAAATCTTAATTTTAGCTAGGAACTGCATAAAGAACATTGCAGAGAAGAGAATATATATTCAAAGTGTCAGAGTAAGAAATTAAGTCATACTAAAGAATGACCAACACATGAAACAATCAGAGCTCTTAAAGATAATGCCCAAAACAAAAATACCTAGAACATAATAATACTAGTAGTGAGTGTATTCATTCATGGAATAGAGAATTCAAGAAGGAAATAATTCAAGTGTACCAAACCCTGAATTTAAACTTCCCCAGGCACCAAGATTAGCAGCCAGAAGTCACACTCTGAGAATCTTTCTCAACTGTTAAAGATGGAACCAATGAAATCCCACTGCTTCTTCCCAACAAAACTCCTGCCAAGGTGAGGTGGGCTGGAGGATGGATCTCTACACATT